GCGTTGAGGCACCTGTCGACCCACCTGTTGAGGGACATGATGAGGACTTTGGAGTTGTGGCGCTCGGAGATGATCAGCCGGGTTATATACCTCGGCAAGATGAGCCTTCCAGCAGCATGCCTTCGTACAACCTTCAGCTATCTCTGCCAGCATCGCAGGTCACCCCGTCAGGAGCATTGTCGATCACGGGTACATTCGACGGGGATGTAGACCAGTACTTTGCATGCCCATCTACCGCAGCTGAGGATCGGCCCACCCGGGACGTGGATGGCGGGCGCAGGTTGAGTTATGCCTCATCCCCGGCGGTTGATGCGGATCTATCACAGGCGCAGGTATGTTTGTATTACTTTAAAATTTCAATTTATTTTTTTTTCCTTAATGAGCTGCCATTAATTAATTTTTAACTTTCTTATGAAGGCATCGTCCCAGCCCATCTTTGAGGCCACTACATGCTTTGATGAGGATACCACTGATGCGTATATTCAGGAGGCCGACGAGACCACGGTGGGAATATATTTTTTGACTTAACACGTACAATACAAATATACTTTGTCACATGCTAAGTTTAGTACTTGTTTTGTAGGTTGCTGACGACCCGACGACCTATTCTTCCGATCCTGCCAGTTGTGGTGTCGATGCTGTTGCACATCCTCTCATAAAGAGGCAGCTTGATGATGATGATCCAGATAGTGCACCCGAGCGACAGGGGATGCGACTCAGGCCAACAGCAGCACTGAAGCACACAGGTTGCGGGACTCACTGATTTACTTAGGTTTTTAGTTTGTGTAAATAGTGCATTATGTATATAATGATAACAATTATCGTTTAACAACATTTATATTTTAATTGCATTTGAACAGCAGTTTTACTTAAACAGTACACAAGAAACACAAACATTGCAAAATGTAGTACTATACTAGAACTAAAACCATCACTGCACAAAGGATAGCAGTACACAGAAAAACAAACAATAGAACTAAAACCATCACTGCACAAAGGATAACTAAAACCAGCTTTTTTCACATGGTTTTCATCTTTTTCAGAACGACAAGACAACTCCATAAAACGTAGTACTATACTACGCTTTATGTGTTAAATTTTTCTGCGATAAACCAGCTTTTT